TGTGTATGATGTGTGTGTGTGTGATGTGTGTGTGATGTGTGTGTGTGTGTGTGTGTGATGTGTGTGTGATGTGTGTGTGTGATGTGTGTGTGTGATGTGTGTGATGTGATGTGTGATGTGTGTGTGTGATGATGTGTGATGTGTGTGATGTGTGTGTGATGTGTGTGTGATGTGTGTGTGTGTGTGATGTGTGTGTGATGTGTGTGTGTGTGATGTGTGTGTGTGTGTGATGTGTGTGTGTGTGTGAGTGTGTGTGTGTGTGTGTGATGTGTGTGTGTGTATTGATGTGTGTGATGTGTGTGTGATGTGTGTGATGTGTGTGTGATGTGTGTGATGTGTGTGTGATGTGTGTGTGATGTGTGTGTGATGTGTGTGATGTGTGTGATGTGTGTGTGATGTGTGTGTGATGTGTGTGATGTGTGTGTGTGATGTGTGTGTGTGATGTGTGTGATGTGTGTGTGATGTGTGTGTGATGTGTGTGTGATGTGTGTGTGTGATGTGTGTGTGTGATTGTGTGTGTGATGTGTGTGATGTGTGTGTGATGTGTGTGTGTGTGATGTGTGTGAGTGTGTGTGATGTGTGTGTGTGTGTGATGTGTGTGATGTGTGTGATGATGTGTGTGTGATGTGTGATGTGTGTGTGTGATGTGTGTGTGATGTGTGTGTGTGTGTGATGTGTGTGTGTGATGTGTGTGTGATGTGTGTGTGTGTGTGATGTGTGTGTGTGATGTGTGTGTGATGTGTGTGTGATGTGTGTGTGTGATGTGTGTGTGTGTGTGATGTGTGTGTGATGTGTGTGTGTGTGTGTGATGTGTGTGTGATGTGTGTGTGTGATGTGTGTGTGTGTGTGTGTGTGTGATGTGTGTGTGTGATGTGTGTGTGATGTGTGTGTGTGTGATGTGTGTGTGTGTGTGTGATGTGTGTGTGTGTGATGTGTGTGATGTGTGTGATGTGTGTGTGTGATGTGTGTGTGTGTGTGTGATGTGTGTGTGATGTGTGTGATGTGTGTGTGTGATGTGTGTGTGATGTGTGTGTGTGTGTGTGTGTGTGTGTGTGATGTGTGTGTGTGTGTGATGTGTGTGTGATGTGTGTGTGTGTGTGTGATGTGTGTGTGTGATGTGTGTGATGTGTGTGTGATGTGTGTGTGATGTGTGTGTGATGTGTGTGTGTGTGTGATGTGTGTGTGTGTGTGTGTGTGTGTGTGATGTGTGTGTGTGATGTGTGTGTGATGTGTGTGATGTGTGTGTGATGTGTGTGTGTGTGTGTGTGATGTGTGTGTGTGTGATGTGTGTGATGTGTGTGTGTGATGTGTGTGTGTGTGATGTGTGTGTGATGTGTGTGTGTGTGATGTGTGTGTGTGTGTGTGTGTGTGTGTGTGATGTGTGTGTGTGTGTGATGTGTGTGTGATGTGTGTGATGTGTGTGTGATGTGTGTGTGATGTGTGTGTGATGTGTGTGTGTGATGTGTGTGATGTGTGTGTGTGTGTGTGTGATGTGTGTGTGATGTGTGTGTGTGTGTGTGTGTGATGTGTGTGTGTGTGATGTGTGTGTGTGATGTGTGTGTGATGTGTGTGTGTGTGTGTGTGTGATGTGTGTGTGTGTGATGTGTGTGTGTGTGTGATGTGTGTGTGTGTGTGTGTGTGTGTGATGTGTGTGTGTGTGTGTGTGTGTGTGTGTGTGTGATGTGTGTGTGTGATGTGTGTGTGATGTGTGTGTGTGTGTGTGTGATGTGTGTGTGTGTGTGTGTGTGATGTGTGTGTGTGATGTGTGTGTGTGATGTGTGTGATGTGTGTGTGTGATGTGTGTGTGATGTGTGTGTGATGTTTTTCTTGTCCGTGCTGTTAGAGTGGGACCACAGAGTTCTGTCCAGACTTGGGATGGACCAATCACAGCCGTTCATCTGTGTCACATGTCTCTCAAACACACAACAGCTCCTCTCCTCAACTCTGGATCTATCTGTTCTTCTTCCATTGCCAATTCTGCAGAACTCAGCTGCTTCTCAAAGTTGTTTTTTTCTTTGTTTGTTTGTTTTCCCTTGATTGTTTGGACACAAACAGAACCCACACCACTGTGATCAGTTAATACATCTACTCTCCTACCTCCTCTTCCACTTTTCTCTTCATCCCTCTCTTGCTCTCTCCCCTCGTCCCCTCTGGCCCCATCCATCCATCATGACATTTTGAGAGACCCACACATCATTGTCAAAATCACACAGGAGTAAAATGCTCAAACAACAGTCTGAGTGCAGCTCAACAGGTCGAGTCATTGGATCCAGTGTCAGGTCAGTGTGAGGAAAGTAACGGCCCTCAGGACAAAAGTGTCCCTCCTCTGTGTCTTCTGTGTCCTGCATCATCACAGCAGCCTCCAGGGGGAGCAGGTGAAGTCTGGACACAACAGAAAGTCTCTTAATCCTCTCTCTCCACTCTGTTGTTTTGGTCGGTGATGAGATGGGACATTCCCTCTGGAACATCTTCTACATTTGGTGTAGAAAGTCTGAAGCATTTCAAAGCTAGCAGTGTTGCCATGGATACAGGAAAAACAAACTACTCATATCACAATCCAATATTCCTTAACGTCCGTCCTACAAACTGCACAAGCTGCACTTCTTGGTCAGTATCCCAAATACTAAGTAAAAGTGACATCAAGTGTAACATACAAAAAGAGTACAAACTGCTCAGTGTGCGAGCCAGACAGCCACAAGAGCAACCAACCACAGCCACAGAGGTTTAGCAGGAACTTGAGACAAAAGGGTGAGTAACCACTGCTCTGTGTCGTACACTCTGTGTGTGAGTGTGACATACAGAAGTGTCAGAGCCTCTGAACAGTGTCACACTCTCTCACCTGTTCACAGCAGACTGGAGCGAGCAGCAGGTGGAGGTGTTCAGACTGTCACTCACTCCAGCGACCCCAGCAGGAGCCTCTGATCCTGGGGAGGCTCACTCACAGCGCCGTCCTCTCCTCCTGGTGCACAGCTGCTGCTCACCCGTGCGCTTCACTGAGCTGATGTCTGCTCCTCACAAGTGTGTAGAGACGAGAGGAGGAGAGAGGAGAGAGAGAGAGAGAGAGAGAGGAGAGAGAGAGAGAGGAGGAGAGAGAGAGGAGAGAGGAGGAGAGAGGAGAGAGAGGAGGAGAGAGAGAGGAGAGAGAGAGAGAGAGGAGAGAGAGAGAGGAGAGAGGAGGAGAGAGGAGGAGAGAGGAGAGAGGAGAGAGGAGGAGAGAGGAGGAGAGAGAGAGAGGAGGAGGAGGAGAGAGAGAGGAGAGAGAAGGAGAGAGGAGAGAGGAGGAGAGAGGAGGAGAGAGGAAAGGACACTCACACAGATACTGTCTCATTCTACCACCAAACACTGAGCTGTGAGCAGTGTGGACATGTTACTGTAGTACTTCAGAGTCACTGGGACACTTTCTGAAACCATAACACTTCAATTACCCAGTCTTAGTTTAACTCCTTCGTTATCAATTCAGTTTGGTGTATAATAATTTTTTTCAAACATTTCACAGAGGCTCAAGTAAGACAAATAAAGTATATAAAGTCTGAAAAGAAATAAGTGTGAGCTTATGATGCCTGCCCCCAGAACATTTTACATTAACATAAAGAGCTGCTAATACCTTAAGCACAACATATTAAATCCACAATGTCCATAGTCAACAAAAATAAGGATATGCTGCTCTCAGCATTCACTTTCAACTGTGTTTTTCTAATATTCCTCTTCTACACAGTTTAAATGGTCTCTTCTACAGACTTTTAACTCCAGGTCTAGTTTATTTTACACTTTTACCCCAAGAACACTACAGAGCTGCTTTGCATTTAACCAGTATAAACTCTATAAATGTCATGAGTGATCACCTCCTGTTGTCCTCTGATGGTTTCCCTCACTGCTCTTAAGAGCCACTTCACATTTAACTGGTCATTTTCACTTTACAAAACCTTGAGCTGACTGTTGTAAACACAAGGTTGATTAGACCTTAATCCACCTTTTCTGTTCAGAGACCTTTTTCTTTAAATGTGCACCTCAGTGTCTTCAAATGACTGGTTTGTGTCTTTAAGATGAAGGTGGACAGCCGACTGTGAACCTGAATTAGAGTGTCTTCTGTGCAAATACAGTCTATTGTGCAGTATTTATACTGTTAGGCATTTATATGAAAAAAAAAAAAAAATCAAATTAGGCTGCTGAAAGACATTTCTCACAGATTCCTTGTCATGAGTCAAAAGAGACAACAAATGTCTTCTTGGGGACTACAATGTTCTTACACTCTGAAAAAACACCAGAGCCAAGTGTTTAAATTTGTTGCCAAGTGTGTACATTATACAACTTGTACAGTTTAAAGGATGGAAGTTAAGACTATTTGATTGTGTGATTTGAGCAGTTTGTATTTCCTGTATGACACTGTATTTATGTAGCTATGCTAGTGAGCTAGCTCTGAAATGTTAGTCTTTCCACAGCAGTGCTACGGGTTTTCTACACCAAATATGTCAGAAGATGTTCCAGAGGGAATGTCCTGTCTCAGCACTGACTGACACAAAAGAGCAGAGAGAGAGTGGTTTAGGGGAGGCTTTCCTGTTGTGTGCAGAGCTCACCTGCTCCCCCTGGAGGCTGTGCTGATGCTGCAGGACACACAGGCGGGACACTTTTGTCCTCAGGGCTGTTACCCTCCTCACACTGCCCTGACACTGGATCTGCTGACTCTGCCTGTTGAGCTGCACTTACACTTTTGTTTGAGCTTTTCTGTTGTGATTGTGTTTGACTGCTCTGTGTTTAAACTGCCTCAGGGCAAATGAAGTGATTTTGACACTGTGGCCTGAGAGGCCCACAACAGCATCTTACACAGGACCCACCGAGCTCGAGGAGGCGCTGCTTATTTGTGATCCTGACACTTCTGATTCAAACGTTGTGTTCTGTGTTCTCTCTCTCTCTGTGTGTGTGTGTGTGTGTGTGTGTGCGTGCGTGCGTGCGTGTGTGTGTGTGTGTGTGTGTGTGCGTGTGTGTGTGTATGTGGTAAACAGGCGGTGCCCAAACCCGTTGCAGTGGAGCCGTGTTGGGGAAGCAGAGCTGGGGTCCTCACACTTTTGCTCAACCTGCCCCGACTGAGCACAGGGACGCCCCCTCCTGGACAGTCAGGTACAACACTAACAACCCCAACTCCAACTAATGAAACTGAACCAATGAATTCTACACATCCTAACATTGTAATAAATAAAACCATTTGATGGGATCATTATTTGCTCTGAATCTACTGGCCTTAGCGCGCTCTGTTCCGTGTGCATGTGACTGCTCTTTGAGCGGGGGGCGTGGTCATCGACCTCTGGTGCATTATGTGAAGTGCATTGTGGGAAATACACTGGGCTGAGTAAGGACTCGGAGGAAGTCTCCTCTGATGCATCTCCAGTAAAACAGGCAAGGATTTCCAGCAGACTTGCCAAGTCTGCACAAGTCTGCACAAGTCTGTACACAGGTCTGTACAGGTCTCACAGGTTTGTACAGGTCTCACAGGTCAGTACAGGTCTCACAGGTCAGTACAGGTCTCACAGGTCTGTACAGGTCAGTACAGGTCTCACAGGTCTCACAGGTCTGTACAGGTCTGTACAGGTCTGGGCAAGTCTCACATTTGTGAGAACAGTTCTGGCCTCTGTTCAGACTCAGCTGTGCTCTGTGCTTCTTCTGTAAGCTGATGCACTGTCAGACAGCAGTAACATAGGAGCAGTTAGTGGTGACATGTGAGAAGAGGCAGGTCAGCCAGTCTAATTACAAAGTGTAGCTTTAAATCATCATGAATGACACAGATCACTAAATTGGGTAAAAATGTAAGTTAAAACAGTGGCAGAGGATTTAGTAAAAAGTGTGACATAAGCTGTTGATGCAGATAATTCTCCATCTTTTCCATAACAGGAGCTTTATTGTATGCCTGGCCTTTCTTCTCTCCACTGTCTCCCATCTCACTCACAAAGCAGTGTTTGAGTCTGTCAGCTGGTCCACACCAGTGTTTTGGCTCTCATTGGGCATAATTGTACCGCTGTGATGTGCTGTCATTTAAATAAGTGCCTCTGTATAATCACTGCATACGCCCCACTCTCTCGCCGCTGTTTACTGTGGCCAGCTGTCACCATTGTAAACCGCTAATGCCAGTCTCAGTGTTAAAGGAGACACATAATGCAAAATCCACTTTTATGAGCATTCAACGACATTATAATAGTTTCCCCATCTCATTATCTTATACTCAGAGTTTGAGTTTGTTTGAGTTTGTTTGAGTAATCCTGTATTGTCCTGCCTTTGACATATGATGACCCTGACACTGGATCTGATGACTTGACCTGAGGAGCTGCACTGATGGGCCATCCACACGACAATGTTTTTGGTCAAAATGGAGAAGTTTGTATTCGTTTTGGCTTTTCGTCCACACGGAGCCAGCGTTTCGGGTGGGCAAAAATTTTGTTTTTTTGAGAATGGGTTCTAAAGTGGAGAAATCTGAGAACACTGGCTTTGCGTTGTCGTGCGGACAAACAAAAAGCAGCTTTTGGAAATGACCGTGATGACATCATGATCCTGTCATCACCAGGGTCCTCTGATGCAGCGAAGCCTGCACTCTCAAATTGACCTCCACAGATCGCAAGAGCATTGCCAAAATGGGACAAGTGTAGCCTACGAAACCACTCCCATCACCCAGCAACCGAGACACACTGTTAGCACCAATACTAACAACACACACCACAGATTACACACACAGATCAATAACAAAGACTACGTTTACACTGAAACAAATCCACGTATCACCGTATCAGAAACAATCTGCATCGAGACATGTCGTTTCTGTGTCTGCAAGTCTTCCCTATCCACACAACTTTGTGCATATTTGTTTACATTTTCCAGAAAGGAAATTTAAAACCACATGGTTAATTTGCATAAACTAAGCGCTCAAAAAACAGCTCACTATTGTGCGCTGATGCAGTTTAGCTTCTGTTCTACTAAAGGACATGACTCAGTGGCATATGAGTGTTCTTTCTGTGACATTATGTTTAACTTTTGCAAAACAAAACAGCTATATTTCTGGGATACATCTAAAATCTGCAAAATTACTTTAAAGTTTAAAAAATTGCGATGAAATCTTCATTATTAAATATTATTATCATTGTTAACAGTGCCACATACAGGTGTGGCAGATGTATTACATTGTTTTCACTCGTTGCGCTGTTGTCGTGTGGACGTGAACATTTACTGATCCGACACGTGTGTGGATGTGGATATTTTTCAGCCCACAAATAAAAAAATCCAGGAGGGTTGTCATGTGGCCGTAGCCTGAGACTTTTGTTTGAGCTTTCAGTTCTTATTGTATTTTACTGCTCTATGTGCACAAACCCCCAAACTTACCCCCTATGTCCACCAACTGCAGTAAATGTATTACAATCACAACTGGACCTGTTTCCAGAGCCTTAACCCGCAGAGGACACATTCAAGTTTGTCTCATTCTCAGTGCATGGACAGACCAGGTCTCATGTGAAGATCAGAACCTCCAGAATTCCCTCCCTGAGCTGCAGAGGCTGCACTAACACTGACTCATGACAGGTTCAGGTGCTCATATCAGAGAGAGACATTTTAGGTTTAAACCAGCTGGATGTCAACACTGAAACTGGCAAACCAAATGAGAGAGTCATGTGATGTTCATTCTGATTTCTGATTGGATAATCGTCTTGAGAACCAAAACATCAAATTATAAAACAAGCAATTTGGCCATTGTTTTGAACGTTTTTCTTATTAATCTGTAATAAATCTGCATTTTACCTCTCAGGTCATTTTTTTTATAAAAATCTTACATAATATCCCTTTAGGTTTTAGATCAATATTGGGGTTTACAATGATCAAATGAACTGATGTAACTGTGCACTGCCCAAGCTCATGTTCACCATGAAAAGCCCACAGCAGATAGTCTGTTTTCTGTCAGTGCTAAGAGGAGCTGAGAATAGACTGTAGCAGAAGTGTGTGGTTAGCTTCATGTGGAGTGGTTTACACAGACACCACAGGGAACGTCAGACATTCAACAGAGTGGAGTATCACACAGTCTGCTATCATATAGAGAGTTTCTATAGCTACACTCTTCTGCCTAAATCAGAACTACAGTAAACCAGCACTGCAAAGGCTCAAAACTGACTCAACAGTTTTTTATTATTGGCGAGGGCAGACGTGTTTTCTCTCCTGTCCTGCCTCTTACCTGTGTGCCCTGCCAGAACTTTCACTGCAGGATACACAATGGACGGTTGGGATAAGTGGTGCAACATGTGTCTGGCGGATCCTTCCTTGGAGGAAATAGAAGACATTTAACTATTCGGAATCGAATTTCAACTTAGGAATGATTACAGGGGTTTCGCTGATTGGATTCGGCACAGCCCTGATTTTTTGGAAAGTTCAGATTAGCGAGGTGGATGTTCGGTGCGCCACTTGGTTGCCCGGACTGACTGAAATAGGAGGCAAAGCTGCAAACGCTCAGACTGTGACTATGAGCCCTTTTATGGAAGGTTCGACTGCCTCACATTTTGGAAAACATCGTGTAAATGCTTGTGGTCATTGACCAGAGGTTAGATAGGACTAAGGCTCTAAGTTGCAATACTGATAACATCTTAGGCTGCGTCCAGACTGCAGCCTGAAGTGACCCAAATCCGATTTTGGCCCCTATGTGACCTGTATCTGATCTTTTAATGACAGTCTGAACGACACAGATCCGATTTTTTTCAAATGTGACCCAGGACACTTGGATATGTGCTCCTGAAACTGATACATATCTGATCTTTTGACATGTGACTTCAGTGTGAACGGCCAAAGTGCATTCATCCACCTACACTTATCAACAAGACACAAATGTCACTATTCTGCACTGAAGTAGGCGAAAATTGTTAATGAACTGCGTGTCACTGAAACGAAGCACATCACCACTCACCACTCTTGGCTCCGTCTCCACATCCACACGTTCCTTTCAACAGACGTTGCTCATGCTGACCCACAAAACACCACAGCCAAAAACATCGTCCTTTTCCTTCTCAATCTCCTCCTTAAAACAAGTAAGTTGTTCATGTTCTGGCTCCGGTACGAGAGGAACTTTAAAATCTCCAGGTGCTCAATGCTGCGTCCATGTTTGAACAACTTCCGTAAACACAGAGCACGCTCACTGTGGTTGACATCATCGTGTCTCCAGTGCATATGCAGGACATTTTTGGGACGTTTAACATTCACACAGGGGATCACATACAAGTCACATTTAATTGGAAATGTGAACGACCAAAAACACTGGATTTCACAAAAAAATCGGAATTGAGCGTTAAGCCCTGCAGTCTGAACGAAGCCTTAGAGAGACTTGAAGCTTTGTAGAGAGGAGTGAGAAGACCTTGAAACCATAAAGAGAGTAGTTTGTGAAAACAGGAATGCAGCTGCTCGAGCCAAACCTAAACAACCCAAATCTTATCTTATCTTATCCAGCCAGCACCAGTCCAAGGCCGGGTGGTAACAACTCGCCCAGGAGAGACTGGAGCAGGAAGGGTGGTAGGTCAGTTGTTTGCAGCACCACGTGGCTGCAGGATCCGGATGGCTGCTGCCTGTGCTTGGGTTAACTCCACGCCCCTATCCTCCCCGGTTGCAAGTCTAGTCTTTAAGCTTGTATTGTGTTGGGGCATAGTCTAGGGGTTGTTCTTTTTTCTTTTTTTTTTTCTCCCCTGTCCTCACGTTATGCTGAATTGTTTTCAAATTCAGCTGAATAAATGAAATGCATTCCATTCCAACATCAGAACCTGTCAAATCAAGTGTTGTCACCCTTGCACAAACACACATTCATACACGAGTGTACACAGTCACTACAAGTGAGGCAGATGTCATGCCCAAGGACACAACAGTAGAATTCTTCTGTCTCTAACAAAAGGATTTTAAAGTACACATTAGGGTGTTCAGAAGGATTGGAAATCAGATACTAATCAATACTAAAGCTAGTATCAATATTATGAACTCATTTGAGCAGGTATCAACACTAAAAAAAGTCTCAATGACAGGGCAGAAATGACTCTTTCTTGCACAGCTTTCAGAATGATGTTGATCTGTATCAGAACAAGTGTAAGAGCACATAGACTAGTATTCACTGATTCACT